AACCTACATAAAGAACAACTGAGAAAGTAACATGCAAGACACTTGATACACTGTTTCCTAGTCGTTGTCTACCGCGGTTCATTAGCCCCCAATTTTTATTTTGTAATGTTTATTTTATGTTTTCTAATAATATGCTAAACCGAATCTAGTTTCAAGCGTGGCGTGACGGCGGAAGACACAAGAGGCAATGTGAGCTTTTTTTTGCAGTGATTGATGGCGAACAACATTCGTTTGCTCGTCTTATTCGCTTCCAAATGCTCCGCAAAATTGATTTTCTAGCAGGTGGTAGCAAAACGACGAGTTATGGAATCCGAAGATTGTTGTAAACGGCAAAACAACATGCTTTTATTTATCTATCCAAACTGGAACTTTTGCGGCGATTTCTTGGCCTTAAACCGACAGACATTCCTTTAAAACGTTCACACGAGTTAGGCATGACCCTTAGTTTATTATTTCTAAATCATATTTTGAAAGCTATTTCTATTGTGGTTTTTAAGAACTTGAGAAAAACGTCGATTTACAGGCCAAGATCTCAATCAAGTGTAACTGGCTTTTGAACTTGACAGTTGCTAATTCCTGCACTCCGCCGAGCCTGCCCAGGCGCGCCTCATGTTGCATGTTGAGGACCATAGCGGTGGAGACAATGAAGGAGTGAGAAAACCTCGAGTCCAACAACACGCACGCTGCAGGTCCAATGAAGATGCCATATGACGCTGCAAAATGTTGCCCGGGCCGGGCAGAGAGCTTCAGAAAACAAACAGCGATTCCCATCAGGATAAGGTGCTCACGATTCTCTGTCGTCTTTGGTTTGATTAATCAGTTACAGAAAAGCCACGGCATGCCCACAACACACCACCGAAACAGTCACTCAACTACTGCTCTCAAATTCTCAAAGCCACAGCTAAACAGAGATTTAGAGCGAAAACGGAGTATATGAAACAAGGCTTACATTTCCTTTTATTAAAATAGGCTAGCTAATTTTATTAAAACTTAGGGCTATTATTATTATTATTATTATTAGGCCTATTATTATTGCAAAAGTGTAGGCCTATGCTTCCAGCTAACAAAATAATTGTGCACCATGATTTTGTCTTCCAACATAGGTCTATGTGTAAATTTCTTTATCCTCATCTGTTTGTAATTAGGCTATAGGCTCAGTCCGTAGGCCTAGATTAAATATTGTAAATACAATGTAATTATTTTTGGATAGTTTTAATATAAAATACATCAGACTACTGGTGAAATTATTACGCTGTCTATGAAAATGTTGAATGTTAATGCATTTTGTGTTTTACATACATTACAGATATGAACCGCGCAGCCTGTCAAGTAAAAAAGGCTAATTGAGAGTGGTTTTATTGTGAGAAGCTTGGTACACATAATGGCGAAGCAAATTTGACGACGCAGGTTTGATGACTTTGGTTACTCCGTTGGAGCTGTTTCTGATTCACGGAACAAGAAAAAAAAAATGTGTAGGACTACACTCTAAAAAATGCTGGGTTGTTTTAACCCAACTTTGGGTCAAATTTGGACTAACCCAACTTTTGGGTTAAAAATTGAATGTAAAAATTTAACCCAACAGTTGGGTTAGTCCATATTTGACCCAAAGTTGGGTTAAAACAAGCCAGCATTTTTTAGTGTATACACTCTAAAAAATGCTGGGTTATTCAACCCAACTTTGGGTCAAATTTGGACTAACCCAACTTTTGGGTTAAAAATTGAATGTAAAAATTTAACCCAACAGTTGGGTTAGTCCATATTTGACCCAAAGTTGGGTTGAAACAACCCAGCATTTTTTAGAGTGTACGATGCTGACTTAGACTATTATGCAATATAAGGAGAAAATAGACGCCACGTTTTGCATGTACAAAAGAGGTTTATTTGAATACAGTATTAAATATCTTGCAAAGAATAATATCTGATATCAGATAAGTCTCCCATTACCTATATCCCAAGTCCCATCATCAAAGAAAAAAAAAAATACTGTTATCTGGATACTTTAATCGAATAACATCTTTGGCGCGAAGAAATATTGCTTTTAACAGCACAAAAAAACAATAATTCAGTTAAAATGTAAAGTGTCTAATTTGACTTGTAGTGGCAACGATTTCAAACAACAAACCAGCGCGATTCATTTAGATTTTAATAGCGTCCTCAAAATCAAAATGAGGCTTCCACATATTTGTATTGTAAGAAATCACCCGCCCGTCCAAACAGGTTGATAAAGGTAACTATAATATCCCTTTATAACGTCTGGTCAAGTAATTTGAGTTTTTCCAGCTTCACTTTGTCTTCCGACCCTATATTTCACTCTCCGGGTTCTCCCCTTTTCTCTCTCTGTTTCTGTCTCTGCTAGTTGCCGTCGTCTTCTTGAAGGGTGGTGGTGGAATGGTTGTACAGTCCCTGCGCCATTAGCTGCACTGCCAGGCCGTTCTTGAATCCGGTGGTTTTCTTGATTTTAGCCCGTTTGTTCTGGAACCAGATTTTAATCTGCGACTCGTTCAGCTTGAGTTCGTGCGCCAGGGCCTGCCGCCGCTGCTCCGTGATATAGCGGCTCGCCTGGAACTCAGCCTTCAGTCTTTGGAGCTGCTCAGCTGTGAACGCCGTTCTGGGTCGTTTATCCTCACTGTCGTTTTTCTTCTTTTTCAATTTCCGGGTCCTTGGGCCTTGTGTGGAGACAACAATGAGACGAATCCATGAATATCAACCATCTCACTAAATGCCAAAACCATTTTGGACTACACACACAAAAGGGCAGTGGCGTGTTGTTGGGTGTTGTTGTCTGTGATCACTAGAATAAATAAACATCAAAATTATTCTAACTTTTTACAATAATAATCTTTATAAATGTATGTTGCCTTTTAAGAACTGGCAGGGACTACAGAACTAACTTGTTGACCCTGGCCAATAAATAAATAAATAGAAATAAAAAATAGGCTACGCGAATTGTTGCTCCAGTTTGTGGGAAACTATTAATGAAACTTCTACACATAATAGTAGGCGATTACAACACATGAACAGTTATGTTGCTGGAAAAAAAAAAGCGGAAAAAGAAATTATATTCGTTTTGACGTCTAGTGCTCCTGAAGTTGACTTAATGCAAGCCAAGCGACAAAAGCCAGAATATAATGATGGAACAGAAATAGGTTAAAAAATGAAATAGGTTAGACCTATTAATATCATTATATATGTGACCTTCCTGAGGAATTTATTTAATTTTTCAATTTTGAACGGTGAATTGAGAAAACCAAGGGGGGTAAAATTTACGACATTAAAATAAATAGGCCTACGCTATAAGCAAAATAGGCTGTGAGATCTTGTGAATAATAATAATAAATAATAAAAATAATTGTCACTAGGCCTAACCTATGGCAGCACAAAATCACAGCGAGATCAGTCACACGCAACAGATAATGTTTTTCTGTTTTATTAAAACGGATTATTTTGTCCATTTCGTAGACTTAAATATATTTATTGGGCAATATTAGTTATTTTGTAATTATCTTGTAAATATCTAACGTTTATTATTAGGCTAAACGACGTTTATTTATTAATATATACACGCTATAACATGTAAATCTTAATTCCTTGGAAACCATCGGTGGAGTGTGTCTGGATCGTGCATGCTGTAAAACGAAAAAAAAAAACTATCCTATGTTATGTGTCATAACTTGGTAAATTTGGTCTGGTTTGATGAACATGAGGCATTATTTTTTATATGATTATGGTGTGTGTCAGCTGGAATATTTCTACGATCGAAAATACGATATTCGATATTCATAAGTTAATTTTCTTGCTTTAGGTTCATGCAACAAAAGATATGGCCTATACATAAAGCAAAGAAGAGTATTATTTTTGTTATTAGTATTATAAAGAGTATTAAATTATTTGTTACCAGATGCCTTACCAGATGAAGGTCGATCAGAGTATCTCGTGCAATAAACCCAGGCGGGCCACATAAGCTCTTGGGTGTCCTTACTGGGCGAGGAGGCTTCACCTGGGCTATTCAAAGCAACGGATGACGCTGAGACGACCCCAGATTTTGTTGCGTTCCCTCTATCGGCCTCGCCTGCCTTGGAATGCCTTCTGCTGGCTGGAGACGAAACGGTGGACGAGCCAGAAGATGAAACACTGTCGGTACTGCAGCTGGAATCCGGACAAGGAGTGCTGGGGACAGTTGGACAACGCTCCCTTTTGCAGCCGAAGTCCGGTCTGAGGATGTTGTCAATGAAAAAGTTGGTGGTTCTGTGCGTGTGGTGCGCAGCCTGCAGCGGGAGCAGAGGTGGAGAGGGCAGGCTCGGTGACAGAGAAACGCTGTTATCTTCGCTCTGATCCCGCTGCTCTTCCATAACAGCTCCCCTCTTTGATATTCGCTCCAGAGGTTGGATTGTAACCTGTTCCGTTCCAAATGTAACGAAAGACTGGACAACGTTATCTAGGTATCCATGACAACGCGCTAATTTCCCGCGAAAGTGAGTACATTTTGTAAGTCAACTTGTTGACATGTAGCGGAGAGCTTGCGTGCTGTCACTTTGGATAGGACTGACAGCGCACGGTACGCCGCGTTCCTACACTCTCCGCATCGCCAGACCTCGGTTTGACACCTCTTTTTCTGGGACTCTACTCGTGCACAACCACTCTTAGTGGCCACTAACCGGAAACACATCAGATCACATAGATGAGTGGGGAGCCTATCCATGACAAAGGAGCTCTTTGCCACGTGTGTCAGCGTCCAATTCCGTTCCGCGCCTGTGCTCACAGATATCCAACGGCACAGAGATTGCTCTTGCACTGGTAGCTGAATTCTGCCTCCTGCAGTCACGCTTATTCACCCATAGACGCGAGGAGAGAATTAAAATGAAAAAGAAATCTTCGAATAAATTGAGCTATTTGCAGCTTATGAGAAGAACTAGCCTAGTTAAAAACAGTAGGCTATGACTGTTATAAGACAAAAAATAGCCTGAAAAACTTAGAAAAGATCACAAAACCATACTACAATAGGCTCATTTGCGAAAATATAGAATTACTTCATATTTAAAGCCAAATCCGTTTTCTGGATATAATTGTCTCTTAATTTAAATTGAAAAAAATAGCTGCTAAAACAATAAGTGACAAGTGACGTGACATGTGGCCAAGTATGGTGACCCATACTCGGAATTAGTGCTCTGCATTTAACCCATCCAAAGTGCACACACACAGCAGTGAACACACACACACCGTGAACACACACCCGGAGCAGTGTAATAATTACCACTACTATGTCATTGTAGCCTATAGGCTATTAAAGTATACTAATTGAATGTCTAATTTAAATTTAAACTATATGCTTGTTTTTAATGCTATAAATTGCATATAGGCTACTAATATACACAGCCTACTAAAACAAGTAGCCTATATGGCTACGTCACTGTAATAAAATAATACGTTAGCATCTAATTTAGATCTCATTCAGGACGAGTGAAGCCGACTGGCATAGGCTATATAGCCTCGCTCTCGATATTTGGGTGCTTGAAATACTTATCGCGAGAATGATCTGTTTGCACTTAATTAATTTATAATTAGGGCTATTGCCGGCTCATTCTGGAGAGTGGGCTATTGTGAGGCGGCGTCGGTTAAGCGGTAAATGGCTGAATAGTCCACTATCTCTCTCGCAAGACGCGCCTTAAGAACTCCTATAAAAACATCATTTATAGGGTTTAATTAGCGTGCATTCACCGCGATCAGTTGGGCGTTCATCATACAGCACAGTTAAAAGCGCCTGCCACAATGCACGCAAGAACCGTTTAATCAAAGCAGCTTTGCAGCGGCCTCACATACGTGAACGTCCTGATGAGGCGTCGCTTACCAAAAGCTCTATTTGCATAAATGGCTTAATTGACAGCTAAATGTCCTGTGATTAATTTTACCGCTCACGTTGCAGAGCTTTAGTAAAACATATGATGAATGTATTTTTTTATTGTTAAACAAAATGTAAACGACCCCTGTTTAATTCACTGGTTAAGCTCCTTAAATTGTGCTATGCGTTTGGTGTCAATTTCAACAGCTTAAATTATTTATTCTTTTTTAATTTACAGTTTCACAAACTATAACTATAACTATAAACCAGGCCATATATTCCCAAAATATCAGGTATTTTCGAGACTTGTAATTTGTAAATAGGAAAATCCTTATTCTTAATTTGTGGTAGGCCTATTTTAAACGTAACTTTAAATCTTTCTGAATGTCAGTGGATATTTATTTAAAGTAAATAGAATTTAAAAATCAGGTTGAATAAGCCTATATGGGACCTGTTGTGACCTGCAAAACGCTATGAGAAAGTAACAAGGCATGCATTTTTATTTTTTTTGCTTGGTTAACATGCTTCATATAGGCATATGCCTTATTCAAAGTTCTTGCCATTCCGTTTAGACATTTGGACCATGGAAAGGTGTGTAAAAGTAGACAGCGAGTAACGATCACAGATATTGTTGCCGTGTACATTGGGAGGCCCTTTGGGGTCCACACGGCGGCCGGGCAGAGCACATGCGTTTAGTCATGCGTGAAGAATGTGCGTCTCATGCTCGCAGAACAGATGTGGACCGTTCAAAGGTGTTCATATTATTCTATTCTGTTCTATTCCATAGCGAGTTTGACCTACGTTTCCACAGATATAGTAAGGACTATGCTTAAGTTCATAATTTAGGCCACTAAACGCCAGACTTGTTGGGCCATCGTATCCCAAGACTGAAAAAGCACAGTGTCATAATCTCTTTATGAAAATTCGGAGCATTAAAGACAACTGGTTCAGAACATTTGGTGCTAACTTTTTTTAAAGAAGCGTTATTGTAACATTATCTACTTATGTGACATAGGCTATACCGCATGGCCAATATGTCTGAGATAGGCCTATTATAAAATTGGATAAAGTTGTATATAGGCCTAAAACATCCCTCATGCAGCATTTTCAAAGTCTCCTAGTTGTAAGACTAGTTTTAGCAGACCATCAGTAGAATATATAATGGCATCGCTTTATGATCTACAGTCTGTTGGGCTTGCATACCAGGTTGACCTTGATAAATATGACTAAAGAGTGTGGGAGGATCTGAAGCTGTATTTTGCGTCCTCTCGTGGCCTGTTAGAATATTGACGCTACAGTTCTGAAGTAGCTTAGCACTTGCATGGAAGTGATCAGAGATCCCAAGGTAATGCGTGAACTGATTTCAGCGCTTTCAAAGACAAGAGGCATGATGAGTCAATGCATTTTGATCATTGCAAAGTCATTTACTGTATTCTATGTCTGAGAATAAAAAGGGATGGTAAAAAAATCACTTTAAATGTTACTACATCATATTATAAACCTATGCACTATAATATCAGCAATTTTACAAGAAAACATGTGACTCTGTAATAGTAATTTATAAATAAGCGCATAAATGATTGGCGTTAGCAAAGTGCATTTAGTAAATTATTATCTTGAACCAGTTTTCTTTTGCTATCTAACACTTTCCCCTGCTGCATTAATGTAAGACCAGGGAATAACATGATCCCACAGTCCACGACCTGCACACGATAACACTGAAGCGCTGATTTAACTTGATTAACCAAGCTGGACCGTACTTCATACTTCCTTCATCACTGACTAAAGCATATACTACGCTGTTCGTCGTACGTCTCTACGCCAAAAGAGGGCAGTGAAAGACCTGATTGTGTTCATCTGTAGACGTCCGTATAAAGGGTTCATCCTGTTCAGCAAGACAATTACGCTAACCTCCTGAGACCCTGCGGCCTCATATGAGGACATTATATTTTGGTGTATTTCTCTGAGACTGTACATGCCAGGGCAGAGCGAGCGCTGAGCTCTCGTGCCTCCGTTGTTAGCCAATCAGCATCGAGTGTTCACTTTCAGCGCTGAGGAGTGTTGAGAAAAGAACCCTCGCAAGGGAGGAACATCTCAGGAAAATGTTATGGGGTTTCAAATCAAAATATGACTTTCTGTTACGAAACAGGATGCTGATTTCATACATTTCCTCATATGAGGACACTGGGACTAAAAGCATGTTTATTAGCGTTTTGGGAGACATAACAAATGAATAGTGAAAGAAATTATGTTTCAATATTCTATGAAATATTATATATTATTATGAAAATCTTGTCAAATATTACTCCCATTATTACAAGTCTTTTTTGATTACATGTTGCCCCAAAAATACATTAATATGCAAATTAGATTTAGTTTATAGATACAGTGTATATAATGAGAAAATTCGTTTATGGCCATTTTACACACATTTTGATATCAAATCATTCTGTTATAACATAGTTGAGAATCATCTTTATACAAAGTTTGGTAAAAAAAAAAAAAATCCTGAAAACTAAAAATGTATTGGTGATTTAAAAAATCTATTGTTTTTGCCTATGCATGTTCATTCATGTCTTTTTATTTTTTGTAAAAAATTGAGTCCCGATGTCCTCTCCTGAGGACATAGCATAACTTATGAATGAAATATCATTTTTTATGCTCTAAACAATGTAAAGACATGAAAAAAAACTATTTGTTCAATATAACTCTTTTTTCAAACGATTTGATTACTTGCAATTAATAGTGCAGACAGTCTGCTTGAAAACAGAAAAAAAAAAATCTGATTTGCCTGCAGCCTGAACAAAGCCTTTAGATGAGGGATACATTCAATATGTTCCCAGGAAAGGTTTGAGAGGCACTTTTCTAGTTGGTTGATACTAGTGCAGTGTTTTCTACTACATTCTAGACACTAAGACCTGAAATGCATGTGTCAGACAAAGGGATGTGGTTGGGAAGCACTGTACTAGTGTACTAGAGAGTGTGACTAGTTACTAAGCATAGCTACGTTTAGGTGCATATATGGTAAGTCAGATAAGTTAGAAAAGTCATAACAATCTGTCAAAAGTGACAAAGTCTGTACCAAGTTTGGTTGTTGTAGCATAAAAGCTCTGAGAGCTAAAAAAAAAAAAGTATTGAGCTGAAGAAAAATAATAGATTTATATAGCTGACTTACAGGACACAGGGCATAAATGCTCAGATCTGGTGGATTAGGAAATTCTGAACATACTGGGCAGCAGATTTTCATCAAGCACTGTCTCTATACTGCCGCTCTGTTTACAACACATGATTATCCACACCCACATATAAACACGCATCTGCAACTTTTACAGAAACCTCAGCAGTTATACTTCCTTATTCACTCTCTAAAAAAACATTTTTCCAAAATAAATAAAATGCTTTCCTATATTGCACAAGTTTTAAGGTTCAATGAACGTCTTCAGGATTCTAAAGTTTTCCATAAACCTTTGAGTCAATTGACCCCACTTGTTGCACAGAAAACAAAGTTTGCTCCTAAGTCACATTACCATTTGTAAAAACAAACATAAAATTAATTTGAGAAGTCCACACAGTGAAGTGCTTAGGCTCCCATTGTAGTTGCATAACTGTCAACATTTATTTTTTATTTTTTTGCAAATGGCTGGACTAGCAATTATTGTCTGTAAGTAATACACTCTGGTGTTGATCGGGTTCAGTTTAAAAAAAGCCTTGAGTGAGAGTCTCCCAGTTAAACTAATGAGCATCTCACTCCCAGTGGACTGGAGCTCTTTATAAATGCTAACATATCTGTTCCTCTCTCATTATTATTACTGTCACTGACTGCATCATTTATTTATTAGTGTGGCCTCTCACCCCTTCAGAGGACCTCACTTCCAAGCCCACCCTTCCTTTACCCAGGGTCCCACAGCTAATGAGGGGCCAGACAGACACA